TCTCCACACACTTGAAGCCACCCCACTCTGCACCGACGTCGCTGTATACAGAGCCGCAGGATCATAGAGGTCTTTTATCTCTTTAAACCCACGAGGCCAGAAATACGGTTGTTGATCGACATCTTTATGAAAGTCATGGATGGTGATGGTTTTTTGGAGGAGGCCCATGGAGTTTGAGAGCCTAGCCAGCGGCTTTCCTTATTGTAGCTAACAAAAATGCGAAAGAGGCGTTCGCCGATGAGGCCTGGGACGTAGTGGCAGTACAGGTCATATATAGAGATGGTAGAGACGTAGATGGAGCCGATGGCGGCTGCTTTGTGGGCGTAGTCGACCATCCTGATATCAGTTTTTCACGATCCAAAGTTGAATTAGACGAAGTTGGGGTCGAAGATGAACTCGAGAAGGCGGCCACACCACAGTAGCAGGAGTGAATGNCNCCCTAAAGAGACTTCGACGTCGAAGAATCCAAAGAGGGAACAACGCCCAAACCATGCACAATACACTCCTGCAACGGCTTAACGGACGAACATACTTCACATCCCTCTCGTTCGCATCCGCCGTCCGAGATTGGGCTTGAGAAGCACAACAAAACGGTGATTCCCAAATCCGAGGGAATAAGTGCGTATTTCGTGGCGTAGAGGCTGTGTCCCACTTTTTGAATCTCAACTCCCTTTCACGTCATTCATGCCCACGGAAACCCTAGCATCCTCCTCACTGGAAACCTAAAATAAAGCACAACGTCCTCAGGCACGCGGTTCGTCCACCCAGCATCGAACATGTCGATTCTAACAGTGGAGGAAGGACTTGGCGTGGCGATGAAGCGGAAATGACGAGGCAGAGTTCATGTTGTCCGAGGCGTGGTCGGAAGTTTGGGTGAGGGTAGGGATGAAGGGTTAATAGGATTTGAAGTGGGGGGAGAGGTAGTTGAGGTGGAAGACGCGGGAATGCAAGTGGAATGGGGGATTGAGGCGCAAGGAAAACTTTGGATGATTGGAAGGGCCGGGACGAGCGCCATCTCCCTCTGCCATGTTTATTCGCACCGGCCCACCCTTGCATTCTCCACTCCCAGCCTCTGGTTGTCACTCTGCGTGATTTGGCCCAAGATGGACTACGTCCTCGTGCGGCTTGGCTGAAAAAATCGAGGTCGAGTGCTAGGCTCTCCCTCTACACCGGCATCACTGCGTGCAGCCAACTTCCTTGAACAACTGCATGGTGTCGAAGGAGAGGCGGTTGAAACCTCACTGAATTCTCGATGAGGGTGCTTCGATTTGATTCCCATATTATGACTGGCACTAGGTCGGCCATGTAAACTGGGATGGCGGTATTGGTATCTCAAGGGGCGAGTACAAAGGAGAGTCGAAGCCATGCGATTATGGTGGGTTTATGTGGGGGGTGTTGCATAGTGCTTCAATGAGTTGTGGTTTACACCGACGTCACGGTACTGGCTGTGTACGAAGACTTGTATGTGTTTCCAGAGTGGTGGCCGCCGCCTTTAGCAGGACTTGATCATCACGCCAGGCAACACAAACGCCAGTCAGGACACTCGGAGAGACATGAGTTTGGGATTGGAGAAAATGCCTGCCGGAGGCCCAGAGTAAGAATATGACACGAATGATCTCTGGGGGAACCTTGCGTATGGGCGAGAGTAGGTCACGATGGAGATCCAACTGCTTTGAAATGTCTTTACGTTGCTCCAAGGGCCGTCGCAGCTCTAGTTGGCCTTCTTCGATTTCAGGTTTGATTTCGTCGCAAGTTTCGCTACGATCTGTGACGCTTGCGTTTGAGACCTGCTTCTTTGATCCACCTTGCAGCGAATACAGATCGCAGTCTACGTCAACCATTTGTTCATCAACGTTATCAAAGAGAACTTCACCTGCGTCGACAGCACTGCTCAAGGGCGCCAACAGAGCGTGTGTATCATTTCGCTGCTCCATCATAGTTTTCAAGGCTTCCTGAGCGATTGCCATCTCAGTCTCGAGTTCGGCGAGGATTTGCTTGTCGTGAGGCTTGATCAGGTAAAGAGCGCCCTGACCGATGGGTGACACTGGTCACGACTGATTGTGATTGGACCATCTGTTTCTGACAGATATACTCCCATGACCTTTTCCGCACCACTGGAGGGTGTTGTGAG